CCTGCCGAGGAGTGGACACCGTCCTGGCCTCAGTTGACGGGGCTGTGACCACTCTGACCCCAGCCCAGGCCTGGACACCTCCTGATGTCCTGGTGAGTTTGGGGACCTGGGGGACCATCCTGGTTACAGGGGAGGTGACCGAGGCCCAGATGGGGAGCCGCTTGGCTGATGTCCTGGACCCAGACCTGAGCTCTGTCCACGGCCCCTCCTGGCCTCAGGGTCTCACAGGAGGGTCCCAGGAACACTTCCACCCTCCCCTGGCCCTGCCCCAGCCCCAGGGGGACCGTCCCACACCGGCATTCAGGACGCTTCTGGAGACAGTGAAAATGGGTTATTTAAATATTGATTTTTTTTAAAAGTCATAATGACTATTAAGACATTATGCAAATTATGTCCCATAGATCATAAAGGGTAACTATCTGTGACCTCATTGGGAAAACAGGGAAGACAGTTTCCTGCAGCTCCTGCTGCTGCAGCCAGAGCGTGTCCAGGGAGTGGCCGTCCCTAGTGACCCGCCACGAGGCTTGTTCAGTGATGCTTCGTTAAGCCCAAAGTGACGTCCCCTGGGAAGCCCTCTGGGAGGGAGGCGGAGTGTTCTGCTCCTGCCTCGCTCCCCACCACGTCCAGCCGGAACAGCCGCCGTCTGTCCCTGGAGGCCGTGATCATCTGCTGTTTCTTATAATTTCGTATCCACACCTCCATTCCTTGCTTCACTCCCTGGTCCCCTCGCGCCCAATGCCGTGGGGTGTCTGCTCACTTCCTCCTCGTCCACGCCCGCCCTCCGTCCCCTGGATCTCCCTGGTCTGCATGTGCATTCGCTGGTCACGTCACGCCCTTATTCATTATGCCTTGACTTTAATTGAGCCGTGGTGCATGCCTTCTCTAATTAATTGATTCATACATCAGTTGACAGAAATGACTCTTTATCAGTGTTCTCTGAGGGCCCGGCGTCGGTCCAGCCTGATTCTTGTCACTCTCACCCTCCCGGGATATTCTGGGCATCTCAGTTACCAGGGCCGCCTCCTTGTCACACGCACACTCCTTGTTACTTGTGGCGAGTGTCCAGTGCGCGCAGAGGGAAGCTCCGGTGTCTTAAGAGCACAGCTCCCTCCAGGGACTTCCAAGTACCGAGCGTGCCGCGGGACGTCACTCTCCCGGAATCCCTCCTGTGTCCTTCTGTATTTCCCAGCTATTGTCATCAAGTGGGTCCCCTTGTGCCAGAGCTTGAGACCAGGCCTGGAGGCGAGCCATTCCGTTGGGAGGTCAGAGAACATGGGGGAGTCCATGGGGACAGGGAGGGGGAGCTGCCACTGGGCGAGATGATGCCCAGGGGGAGATCCCGGGCCAGAGCCAGGGCCGGGCGTGTCCTTCATGGTGACCCCCCTAGAACTCCAGGGAACTGGCATCACACACTCCCTGCCTGTTGTGATTTGATATGAGGGGTCCCTGAGGCTCCTGACAGCTCAGAGGTGAAATGGCTCCATTATTACAGCCGCCAGCTCACCAGGGGCTTAATGCACTCGGTGGTCAGTAGCTGGACGCCAACCTGGGTGGGACTGCAGGCAGACGGGGCGTGGCTAGAGAAGGTGGGTCCGCCGGGGACGTGTCTGGAAGGGTTCGACTTCCCTGCAGCCCCCCTGCTTGTTTCCCTGCTGCAGGAGCTGAGCATGCCCCTCCTGCACGCCCTTCCACCTCGAGGCTCTGCCTGGCCCAGGTGACGACCTACTGCCCGGAGCAATGGACCGAACCACGGCCGACCATGAACCGAACTTCTGAAGCCGTGAGCATAAAATCGAGTTTTCCTCCTCCAGATTGTTCTTGTGGGGATCTTCTCAGGAGAGGGGCAGTAATCCCACCGCTCAGGTCCAGCTCCGCAGAGCCTCGGCCAGGAGATGCAGGGACAGCGGTGGGTCAGGGCAAGCGTTCAGCAGCGGCGAGATCTGGAGGTGAGCGCCCACCTGCTCCCCACCTCCCGGGGCTTCTTCCACAGTCCAATTCTGAAGAATCCTCAGCCGTCAAAAGGTTTGATGACTCTATTCTACACCTGGAGGAAACCGAGGCCCGGTCGGAGAACGTAGCAGATGCACCGTCACCCCGCCCCCCTACAAGCCTCCAGCCCAGCCGGGCCTCCCCCTCTTAGAGGCGGCTCCCCCTCTGCGCTCTGGGGTGGTGTCTGACCTTGCCTGTGAGTTCTCCCAGATACCTTGTCAGAGAGCAAAGCCAACAAGCCTGAGCTGCCGCCTTTGAAGGCGGGAAGCTAATTTGCCCCGGGGCTGTCTTTGCATTTTAGAAACCCCCTCCACACCAGTCTCCATCCACTCACACACTTAACAGCTACGTTTGCTGATCCAAAGTGCCTGTCAGTTTCACTCCCCAAGAACGCCCGCGATCTCTCCCCGTGTGGACAGGGCTGGCTCTTGATGTGATTAGGGCCAGTTAAAATCCCAGGCAGAGGATGGGGCGCAGCAGGTCTCATGTGAGAGAATTCAAGTCACTACACATGGACCTCGACTCCTGAACTTAAAGGGATCAGGAAGACATTGACTTTAAAGGTTATCTTCCTTCCCTCCGAAATATTCCGGGTACAGACTCCGGGTACAGACTCCGCGTATGGAGGCGCGTGTCGAATGAGTGAGGGTTGGTGTGTTTTCTCACCATTCAACTCTGCCCCCTCTCTCCATGCTGGAAAGACCTGACCTCCCACACCAGGGTCCCCTGCTGGATGAGGGACTTACCTCCCGGGACAGGGACGGCTGTCTCCACACTTTGGTAGATTTCCTCTGCATCTCCTTGGGGAGGCCAGACACAGCTCTGGGATGGAGAGAAAGGGGCGGGATGTGGAGCGTCTCCACACCCAGCCGCCTCCCCCCTGGGCCTACTGTGCACCGGGTACTGTGCTGAGTGCTTCTGGAAAGGCGCTCATGCTCCACATGCACAGCAAGCCTGTGCAGTGGGCTCCCTCTCCCTGCCCCGCCGTTTTCTGTCTGGGTGATTGATCGGCAAAGCTGCCCCTGGGTCTCCGGGATCCCATAGCTCTCTGTGACTGTGAATCTACCGCCCCTGCCGCTGGGTACAGGGGACCGGCTGGCCTTGCTCCCAGGGCGGGTTGGGTTATGGGGCAGACAGATGGGTGCAGGTGGACGTCCAGGCTCTCCTGTTGTCCCATTTGTTTGGGGGGCGCCTAACTGTCGTGGCCTGGCAGTGCATTCCCAGGAGGGAGTGAACGGTGTCCTGACTGGGGTGGCTCCTGGGGAGAGGGGTGTGGGATCCTCTGCTGCCCAAGTCTTCAGAGGACATAGCCCTGGGTCATCCTTGGTCCTTGGACCGATGCCTGATCACCGGCTGTTTGTCCCTCTTGACACCCCGTGATTCTGTGGATAACATGAATGCCACGTGTTGAGCATCTGAGAACTATCTGGGTGTCCCCCGGGTGCTGGGCGCAGGGGCCATGATGGTGAGCACCACACGCTGTGAATGTGCAGCGGGGCCAAGGATGCGCTGCTCCGTCCGCCCAGGTCCTGCCTCTGCTGCCTCTTGGGAGCTTCCCTGCCGATCCCTGGCCCAGGCACACCTTCTGGACACCCAGCCTTTGGTCTTCCATCTCCGTGGTGCCGGGGCTGGGGTTGGGGAGGGCAGGGGACAAAGGGAGGAGAATCCACAGGGGCCCGGTGAGGATCCTGGTTCTTCGTCTACAACGCGAGCAGTGGTAGGCAAGTTTGCTTAAGCACAGTCCACGTGCAGACCCGGGGGCGGGGGTCTAAACACGCCTCACAGACCCGGGCTGTGTCCCCGCCCCTTGCCCTGGCTCTGGGGACAGCGGCCTGCGGAGAGCACAGCTTTCCCAGCCCCGGGACCTGGCCTCGTGCCCCAGCCAACCCCTTCCTCGTGGAGCATCTCGGGAGGTGACCTGGCCTCTTTGAGACCCAGCCTCCTCATTGTGGGTGGATCGGGCACCTTCCCGGCCAGGGCCACGCTCCCTGGTGAGGCCCTGTGTCCTCACAGCACCCGCTTGTCCCCTCGCTGGAGCAGCCGGCCTGCAGGCGACTCCCACGTCTGACTCCCGTGGGCACGGAGGTCCCACTGCCAGGACCGGCCCCAGGAGGTTGGGGACCTGTCCTGCCCCATCAGAGACAGGACCCCAGCTCCCTGCTGCCCCCAGACTGGGAAGGCCTGGAGGAGGAGGAGGAGCGCTGGGCCTCCTGGGGGTGGGGACTGTCAGGTGACCCAGGCCCACCCCTGACGCAGCAGGAGAGCAATCCCACCATCCCCCTCCTCAGGTCACCCCCAGCCCCAGGGGG